TGGAAAAGTTTTAGAAATAATTGTGAAAATTTTTTGATAAATTTGCAACTGTGTTTATTCTCATTTTTTTTTTTTTTTATTTTTGTACAAAAAATAAAATGTAGAGACATAAAGTATTGCATAGTGGGTGAATGCTGAAAGTTTGCAATTTCATTGCTAATATTTCAATCGTTCACATCGATGTTCTGTAATTTCTGAAGTTTGCTGTGAGTGGGTTTTGTCATATTTTTAGTAGGTTTTTTCTTTTTTTCTTTTTTAAATTATATAAAATATTTTATAGTATTTAAATGGATCGATAGTGATATTTTTGTAATTTTTTATTCGTTTTTGTCTTTTTAAATTCATTCATTTTTGGTAGTTTTCTTTTTATTCTTATTGCATTTGTATTAAATTTTATGTTTATTTCGGATTATTATTTTGATAAATATAATGAAGTAATAGAGTGAATTAAGTTCTGTAATTAAAAGGTTTTGTAATTAATAAATTAATTGAGTTTTGTAAGTAATACTATTTAGTTATTTTAATAGTAATATTTTATTTGGCTAAACTTAGATGTTATTGTTTTATGTTCAATTCAAATAGCAGTTTGATTTAACTACTTCATTTGCTACCATATTTTTGCTTCCTTTAATCGAATCTCAATGAAAAATGCTACTACCCTAATTATGGCATTATGATAATTTTAATGAAGTTAAAAATTACTTTCTTACAGACCTGTTACGGTTAAATATTCTCGGATTTCTTCATATACTTTTGTTTCGATTCTTCATGAACTTTTGTTAAAGATGAACAAATAAATAATTAAGCATTTAAAGAACAGTAAGAACTTGAAGAAAAGAGCGTTAAAACAAAAAAGAAAAAGAACGGCTGAAAATTGGGAAACAACTTTGGTATGTCAAGCTGTAACTGGATTGAAGATGACGAAGAATTACGACCCACTGATGCAAATAATAAAAATGAGGTTCCTATTAATTGCTTATCATTTTACACTCTCTTTTTTTTCCTCTTTGTTTTATTATTTTTATTGATTACTGTTCACTTACATTTGTCTTATTTTCTTATGTGATAAAATTCATAACGACTGTGGCAATAATGACTAATAATGATAAATAATATTAATAAATAAATTTATATGCAAACGTTCAATAATATCTGCATGAAATTATATTTTAAAATAAATAACTTTAGAGAGAGAGAGAGAGAGGAAAAAAAATGTCTTAAAAATTTACAATTTGATAAGAATTAATAATTGTTTTGCCAATGTGCAGTTTATATTAAATACCTGTTTTTAGAATTATTGCCATCGTCGTGCAGTGAGCAGTGGTGAACCATCGTTAGATGGTTCTGTTGACGAAGAACGTGCTGCATTAAGTGATTCTGATCTAGCTGGTGTTGCAAGAATACATGTAATTTTTTTTTTTTTTTAATTCAATTAAAATGTCTTCATTTGAAAAAAAAAAAAAGAAAACAACATCTGTTAATTGGTTGCAGATTTTTGATTTCTGCACTTCAAATTTCTAACAAAATGATTTCATTTTAATCATTTTTTTTTTCTTTGTTGTATTTTAGACTTTGGCAGCAAAAGCAAGAGGTCCATCAAGTGATGCTCTTGAAACAGAATGTCGTACAGAGCAATCTCTTTCTATTCCTAATGGTATCCATTGCTGTACATCCACAGAAGAATGGAACGATATTTTGGGTAGTGGACAGTTATTTTGTAAGGTAGATTACTTTTATTAATAAGTACTGTTTTTTCAATTTAATAAGATAATGGTTTTATAATAGTTAACTTTCAAATACAATTAAAATTGTTTTGTTTAGTTTATTAGAAAAGTTTAACTGCTACAAACATATATGTCATCAGTTGATAAAGATATTTCTGAGTGATAAAATGATTTTCTTTGAATATAATTTAGCATTTTTAGCCTAAATCAGACTTATCATCGAACTATTTCGTTTAATATACTTTTATGTTTCTGGTCTATCCCATTTAGTATTTTTTAACATTTTTTTTTTGATTCATTTAAGGCTCTTTAAACGTAAATCATTCGTTTCCCGCAGTATTAATTTATATCTTTTGATATATTCTTGAATTGCTCATGCATTCTTTTTTTTTAATATTCAGACTTTTTTTCAAGTTATTCTAATAAAAAGTGTTGAAACAAATAAACGAGAAATAGATGCATGGTTTAAATTAATTAAATAGTGCAATTGGCTTTAAAAAAAAGAATAATTAGATTATAATCAGCTTTGGATCTATAAAACAATAAAAATTAATTTGGTATTGAGTTGCTCAATACTAAATTAGAATGGAATATAGATTTCAGATGTTGAAAGCTGGTAAAGGACCAAAAGCTCGGAATGGTCAGAAGGTGACAGTTCGAGTTGTAGATACAGGATTTGGAATAGATAATGTTAGCGAGAAAACATTTATTCTTGGTTTTAGTATGGTTATCGATGGTATGTTATATTTCTTTTTCATCTTTTATCGTAGAATCGACTACTAATAAAATATCTTATAAGTAGAATATTTTATTGAAATTTTTATTGCTTTATTACTATGTATCTAACAGATTATCCTTTTAAATTGACTTAGGCTAATTATGTATTAGAAAAGTATATTAATTTTAGCATAGTTTTTTATATAAAAAATATAAGATATCATATAGAAAAGTCAGTCATTCTTTGCTGGACACATGCATAATAAACTTCAAATACTTTTTAATGCCCATTTAGGTGTACTCATTTTATTTAAAACATAAAATAAGTATTGTTTTGCATAAAACTAATCAAATTACCCTTATTTTTTTCTTTTTACTTACTTTCTTCTCTTTACTTATGTTTTTTTTTTTTTTTTAAAGCATGGGAAATGGTTTTGCAATTGATGCATGAAGGTGAAATTGATGCCATAAGAAGTGAGCATCGTTTTGCATATGGTAGTGTAGGTGATCCGGAACGTAATATTCCACCGTATCAAACAATGGAATATGAAATTGAATTGATTTGCATTACTGATGGACCACTTTATACAACATTGAAGACAAGTGAATTAGTCAAACATATTACGGAATTGAAAGAAAGAGGCAATTATTTCTACAATAGAAAAGAATTGGAGAAAGCAATATATGTTTATAAGAGGTGAATATTTGAGGTTAAAATAATTTAAAGTAAAGAAATGAAATTGAAATTTAAAAAAAAAATGTATGATTGTGGATAATTTTTTTTTTTTTTTTTTGCTTGTTAATACTTTCATAGCGTTCCATGCAGTTTATTTTGACTAAAAATTTCTTTTCTATGGTAAATGAAGGGAGGAGGAATATATTATCATTGCTGAATTTTATTTTACATTATTTTTCAAATTTATCAAATTGCAGTGTTTGTTCCTGAAAAAATTTTGCTGTTCTTCAGAAGTACCGAATTGATTGATACACCTACAGAAGATGAAACACTACGTAATTTATTATCTGTGATTTACTCCAATTTATCTGTCTGCTATGCAAAGGTTCGAGATTTCCCACAATTTGCTATCTGTTTTGATTAATTTTTTATACTTCTAATTTTTAAAATCATTTTAAAAAAATTGTAGAAAAGAGCTTAGGATGCACTGATCTTTGTCCCATATACAATCCATTCAATATTTCAATATTATTTCAATCAATATTATATTTCATATTATGCTTAAACTATCAGTATCTCTTGAATTACTAAGCTGTTTTGGTAGCCAATTTTTTTTTCCCTTTTTATGCGGATTATTTTGGATAAATGTTTATGGAGTATTAACTTTCCAATTACATCTCAAATCTTAGGTATTATTTACAATAATTAGCTTGTTAATTCAATTTAGCTCACTTCTTAATATAATTTTTTATAGCTTTGTGATTGGAAGCTAACTTTGGATGCTTCTAGTAATGCACTGAATTTGAATGCTAACAACACAAAAGCACTATTCAGGCGAGCAAATGCTTATGCAAATTTGAATTTTATTGAAGAAGCAATTGATACTTTGAATATCGCTCATCAGATTGATCCGAATGATGAGGTTAATTTTTAAAATTCAAATCATTTCAATTCTACTAGAAAGCAAATATGCATTCGTTCGTTTCACACACATTAAGCACATCTCAATTTTTAATTATAATGTTCAAGACGTTCTTGAACAGAGAGGCTTTAGCTTAATAGTTTTTACAAAAAAAAAAAAAATTTTTTTTTTAGCTTATTCTTAAAGAACTACGTCGTTTGAAAGCACGTTTGAAGCTATGCCGTGAGCAGGAACGTTCACTGTATAAACGAATGTTAGTTGGAGCACAGGGTAATAATGAAAATCGAACTTATTTCATTCGTCGATTAAGGTATTCATTACTTGCATTCTTTGTTGTTGTATTTGCCTTATTCATTCATTTCCTTCGTATTGTTATGGATTGGTAAAAAAGTAAAAAGTAATTTTCGAAATCCTAACTAATGTTAGTCAATATTTTAAGAAAATTTGGATTTATTTGTCGATTTTCTTTTTTTTTTTTTTTTGGATGCTTAAAATAAATGAATCCGAAAGGAAATTTTTAGAGAAAGTTTTAGAGCAGTATTATTTTATCAATTTATTGTATGTATCCGCAATCTAATCATTGTAAGCCAAATTTTAGAGGGATCACTGTCATTTATATTGCTCAGGGACTTTTTTCGTTTTGTTATTCACTACTATATATTTACATTAATGATGATAAATGTTCGTTTTATTGAAACGTTTTCCAGTGATAGACCCACGCTTCTGAATGCAAATGAGAAAAGAGAAACTGAAATATTACAATTTTATAAATTTAACAAAAAATTATTACAACCCCCGAAACATGAGCTTTTAAAATGTGTCAGTCCTGGCAGTAATCTTTTTAAAATTCCAAAAAAAAAAAAAGGAAAATAAAACAAAATTTTCGTAACTTTGTTTGGAAGAAGGAAGTGAGCAATGTCACAAAAGTAATCGCTCACTTTAGAAAAATTTTGAGACAGGTTTAAACAGGCATACTACAAATGAAATTATGGGCTGGTATGGCTAAAAAACCTGCACATACAATACCAAATGAATCAGACATTGAAACGAAACCCAAACTGAATTCTCTTCCTTCTATTGGAATCTGAAACTTGCATTAAATTTAATTTTTAAAAAAGAAATCACTTCTCCCTATGATAAAACAAATATTTTTGTCACAGTATCGGAATGACTGGCAGCAATGAGATGATAACAAAAAATATGGGTATTGGCCCAGCTGAGAAAACATAAAACATTGAATTAACTTATGATTTTTACTTTGACTATTATATGCTTCGAATGAAACTGTTTGATGGCAAGAATTGTTAAGCTTCTTTGTGGAGAATAATTGACGCACAACTATGTTTAGTTGACTGAGACTGATCACAAATTTGATAAAATAAATGAGTGTAAATATTAAGCGAAATGTGTTTTTTTTTTGCATTTCGACATTTTTTATATTGACCATATTGCGGTTGTAAAATTCGTGGATAATTTTTAGGTAATTTCTTATTTAAATTGCATAAAATCATACTAAGTCTATAAAATTAAATGCTAGACAACAGCTAGCTTATCGATTAAAATTGATAGAGAATACCAAAACTCTTCGAAGACAATTTGAGTGAGTTCAGGGAAACATGTGATATCAAACTCAAAAGAAATTACAAATGAGTAATTTGCAAATTTGTTAACTCACCGACTTATGTAGCAAACGGAAAATGTTAACATAAGCTGCTCCCCCTAATAATCCTTCATAGAAAACAATAATAAATACAATAATGACATGCGGTATGAATGATTTCAACGTATCCCAAAATAGAAAGATAGCATTTATTGTCTGAAAAACAAGCAATAAAAAGATGAAAGACAAGTAAAAACATATCGAAATGCAGTTACCTACTAATAAATTCATTTTTGTCTCAAAAGAAAAATTGAAAATGTATATTAGCTGTTGAAAATATGTACATGTTGATTAAAAATTTTCAATTATACTTTCTCTTACTTGTAGAATAGGAATTAGAGGTATAAAGGATGATTGTAGCTGAACAAACCCAACGGAAGAGCGTGAAATAAATACTCCAAGCTGATAAAGTACCTATAAAAATGAAAATATAAATATATTCTAGCTTTACAAAATATAAATTACAATTTTAATTTTGAAAAGCTTTATAATACGTACTTGATACCAACGATACTGTCCATGATGACCAATACCAAAACTATGTGCACAATCATATACAAGTAATTCCAGCTGCAACATTCTCATAATTTGCATCGGAAAAATTTTATGGACTATGAAAATACTGTTGAAAATAGATCAATTATTTTCATTTGAACTTATAGCTTAATTTAATCTCACTTTTTAGAAATCTTTTAGAATGAGATTGTGAGATATTTCGAAATAAAAAAAAAAAAAATGCTGTTTAATTAGAATGCTACAGTTGCTGATATATGTTTTCCTTATTAAGCAATATATGGAAAATATTCCATACAACAACAATAGTAATCATTATGATACAAAGTAAAAACTCATTACATTAGAAGAAAAAATTAAAAGAAAAATTTAAGTTAATAATTCCAAAAATGAATAAATTAAAATTTCTGATAACTTACCAATCCTTGATTAATAAAATATTCCGCAAAATAAACTAAAGCAAGTGGAAACATATATTTTAAAATAAGAGGCTGCAAAATAAAAAAAATAAATTATTCAATTAATTTATTTTGTGCTCATAATAAAAACAATTTATATTAACATAACGCAAATTAAACATTTCTATTAACTTAAAACGTTATCTTTTACAAGAGAACTGAAAACAGTATAGCTACATTAATGATATCTAATATCAGATATAATTATGGAAAGATTCTTTGTTAAAAACCTATAGTGTCATCAACAAATTATTTTGTTCATTTTCATAAAGCATGGAATTAATATTATAAACTGTGTATTACCTTGGCTAATGTCAGTTTATCACTGAAACTTTGTTGCTCATTGATGGAAACAACTTCGCCAATAGAAACATCAGAACTATCTATAAAATTGAAAAAAATGAAATATTTTAGAAAGAAGAAATTTTTCAAGCCTTTAGAATACAAATTAACATTTCAAATAAAAAAAAAAAAAAAAAAAACATGTTTTCTAAAAAAAAAAGTAAGTTGACGATTATGTTAAGTGGATGGGAAAGAGTTAAACACTAAACATCATAAACCTCCTTTCAGAGGTTAAATCTGTGTATCAGATATGTAATAATAATAGGCCCCATAATTAATGCCCGGAAAGCCTTCGTATAAGTTAACATATCGAAATATTAACTGATCAGTTGTGCTGTTTCATCACTACTGTTTATATCGCTTCTTCTTCGCCTGTTCAATGCTGAAACTATTCGTATACTATAGAATATGTTATTCACTTATTCCGAAAAAAATATCAAAATTTAAGTAATTTAAACTTCATCGGTTGTAATGCAAAAAAAAAAAAAAAAAAAAAAACTTACTAGAATAGGTAATTAAATATGTTGATGGTTTACATAGTGATACGCGATGTATATTCCCAGGTAATAGTAATAATTTCCAATAACTAAAAATTTGTAGAACGCTAACAAGAAAATAATGATAACGAAGAAACAAAAATTAACACTTATAATAAGTTAGGAAAATGCTGATAATAATTTCCACTATATATTACAAGCAGCAAAACTGATAAACAGTTTACGTGAGAGCAAACGTAAATGGAACAATGAGCATAAGCAATAGCGCATTTCGTGGTGTCAATCCCAACATATGTATATCAGTTAGCATCGCATAAGCAAAGGAACCAAAAATTCCAGCGCCACCGGTTCCAGATGACCATGTACCCACCATACTACTACAATCAATATTCATTTATTTATTGGAAGTTTATACTTCGAATTCAAAGACTTTTCTCAAATTTATTAAAATTACGTAATATTTAGGAAGACTATGACCGAGATTTTTAACTCTAAAGAACCATTGCTTTGGTCAAAGTCTCAATAATATATTGCTGTTGAAATATATTAAAGTTTGAGAAGTGCTAAAGCCATATTAGAAAGTTCAAAGTTCATGTTAGAAACTTTAACTTATTAATAGTAAATATCTAAATCAAAAGTTATGTCTCAGATTTCTTTTATTCAAAAAAAAAAAAATTGACTCAATTAAAAACAATGATTACTTCGCGACACATTTTATCGTTCAAATGCTAATTTAGTTATTTAGTTATAATATCACTTGTGACTAAATAATAAATAGTTGGAAAACAATCATTTCTAAAAAATGAATATAGCGATCGATTCATTTCAAAGATGCAAAGAGTGAAGATCACACTAGACAAAAAGAAATATCACTTACTTGGGAAAATAGGTAGTCAGTGAAAGAAACGTAACTTCTCCAATACCTGCTCCAATGCTTGCTAAAGCAACACCTGTAAAGAATTAACACTTCCTTCATAAAGCTTGTCCGAGTTAATGTATTTTGGAATATATTGATGCTCGACACTACATAAACGGAAGATTCAGTTGAAATAAATGAGGTAAACATATGTCCTAGTAAAAAGAAATGAGTTTATGAAACAGAATTAAGCTATACAAAAGTTATTCAGTCTAATTTTTTTTAATAGAATAAAGCAAATAAAAAAGAAAAAAAAAACTAACCAGTTAAACTCATCACAATATTTCGCGAAAAAGCAACTACCAAAAAGCTGCTTATCTGAAGAAGAACAACGAAGAAATGTCGTACACTGAAATTTAAATTAATATATTCAAACTGAGACCGTAAGTGTTAACTTTAATGAAAAAAAAATTTAGTTGATTAAAAATTCTTTTCGATTTTTTAGTTTAGAATAGAGTGCTTACCCAAAAGGGATGCGATGCATAACAAATGGGTAGAATATTTTTACAACCAAACATGGTATGATATTTGCTAATAACACTGAACCTGTGGATAATGGCTGGCATTGACGATGAACAACTGAATTCTGAAACAATAATAGTATTCAACTATAAGAGCATACTATTAAATTATTATGCAGTCAAATTATTGAAAAACTACCAATGATAAAATGTCTTAAATGATAAGTTATCTGACAGTAAACTACAGCGTAGAAAGTAAATTTAAACAGAACTAAAATTTCAAATGTATTATTAATGAAAAATTAAAGGCAAAGAGAGAGAGAATGAGAAAAAAAATAACAGTTGTAGAACAAATAAATAACAAACGTCTAAAAGTAATCTATTTCTTCTGTTAGACAGTGAAAAAAAAAAAGATGGGAAAAATAACCTGGCAAGGATCATCAATGCTTTTGGAGGATGCTTTAGGACCATCCGCCGCTGACAGTATATCTTCTGCTGCACTAAGCATAATTACGTATGCAAAATTGTTGCACAAACCAATTATCCTGAATAATAATGACCAGAATTAAGAAATTCTAAGTAGAATCGAAGGGATATAACACCACAAACTGCAATTACTAACATAACTAAATTATATTGAAATATCAGAAATTAGAAAAAAATAATTCCTAGGAAATAGAAATGTCATAGTGTTGCCACAAGTTTTATGATCATCAAATCAGTCATTCATTATACTTACCAAAAAGCAAATTGATTTCTTGGACTGCTTTGTCTATTCGATTCATCTTCAATTGCTGGCATCCTTTCAACGACCCAAAATTTTCGAGTTTAAGAATTGAATTCATGCAGTTTTAATCTCATGCAATAACTGAAAAGACAAAAAAACCAATGAAGAACATGAATATGATGTAAGACAAAAAAAATTCAAACAAAAGCATATTCTAGCTTTTTGTTGCTTCTTTCGCATATTGATTAAAACTTGTAAGCAAAAAAATATGTAACAACTAATTTAATTTACAAAACATAGCAATTATAAATTATAATGAATGAGCAATAATTTATACCTAATAAATAAATTATTCAACAACAATTATTCGTCTAACATTTTCACAACATTTTTGTGCTCTGAAAAAACAATCAAAGAAAAATAAATCAGTGTATATCATATAAATATCCAAGACAAATCAATAGTATAAAATATGATATAATGTAATAACACACAGCAATCAGAAAAATTTTTTTTTAAATTTTTTGCAAAATTAAAATTTCAAATCCTACCACAATTTTCTCATATATCACTATCTTAAATCCAATCACTTTATTTCATAAAAATTCCCCATTATTCTATTATTTCTTCAACTACTAAATTGTTCTAATCAACTCATTTACTGCTTTCATTAAACTTACGCAATCTCCCAGTTGTCATATTCCATACAATCATTTACTTTTTGATAGATTACATTTTTTCATAATGTCTCTCATTCTTAAAATGTATGAGACATTGTGAAAATTTTGACTTCCCTATTGAATTAACAAAAATTTGATTAGCTTTCTTGAAATAGTCATTGGTGATGAATTAAATTTTCCATTAAATTTCATCTTCTCTCAATAATTATAAGTAATTTTCTTTCTGATAGTGCAGAATGCATTCAAAAGAAAAATGCGAAAGTTTTATAAAATAATTTTAAAAAAAGTTGCTATATATAGTTTTACGTAAGAAAACAAAAAGTTACGTATAAGAACTTCTTTCTTAGTATAAAATAATATAAGAAAGTTCAAAATAAAATTAAAAAATGATTGCTAATTTAATCGTTTATGATTTTATGGAACAAAAAAAGAATTTTCATAATTTACGTATTTCATAATTTAGTATAAATCTGTTTTCTTTCGTAAAAAAAAAAAATAAAAATTATGAAAATTCTGTAAAAATTTCGAATCTTCGTTGCAAATTTTAAGCATATAAACAAACTTAAATTCAAAAAAATCTTTAGAATAAATATTAATGTAAAAGAATGCGAATAAATATTCTTCTGCATTTTTTTTTTTTAAAAGTTTCAATCATGATATTGTGCAAATCATTTTCATTAAAGCCAAATTTTCTTAATGTATCGTAATTTATAAAAAAAAAAAAATATTTATGGATAAAATTGTTTACTGTTTAAAAATTAAATTAATTATTCTTTATCAAATATGTGTAGAAATTTTCATATATATATGAAACCATTTTATTACACTAAAAATACTAAACAGTAATCATTAAGCATTGTAAATACTTAATGCAATTAAGCATTCATTACTTATCTTAAAAAAGTAATCAATTTTTAAATAATTTGTTAATCATTCAAACAAATTTTCAATAATTATTAATTGGTAATATTGTAATATTGGCCAAATAATTGAAATTTAATAAAATACAATGATGAAAAATAAAATAAAATTATAATCTATTAAAAACGTTTTAATAACGATTTAAAATTTTATGTTGAATGATTTTACGTTATTTTAAAAAATTTTACGTTATTTTACTATTTCTCTAATAAACTGCTAATACATTGGTATTAATTAGGAATTTGAGTGAAATTTTTAAAATATTATGTTTACAATTAAAACTAACAATATCAAATGGTTATTATTACTTATTGCTGTTATTATTACTTTATGGTTATTGTTACCTATTATTGTTATTATTATTTAACCATTATTATTATTGTTTATTATCACTATTATTATTATTATTATTATTATTGTTATTATTATTATTATTATTATTATTATTATTATTATTATTATTATTATTATTATTATTATTATTATTATTATTATTATTATTATTATTATTATTATTGTTATTGTTATTGCTGCTTCTTGTAAATTTTGACCAAAATTATTTGCAAATTATTTTCATTAACATCAAATTAATTTTTTTTCACATTTTTTATTTTAAATTACATTTGCATATTTGTTGATAAAATTAAACTTTTCTGCAGTTTCCATATTTTCCTTTCTTTTTTTTTTTTTCAGACAAGTAAAGATTATTAATTAAATGATTAAATAGAGAGAGAAGATAATGAGAGAAAGTGAAAAGATCATTGTAAAAAAAAAAAAAAAAGAATGAAAAGGATTAGAATGTAATGGAAAAAGTTGATTTCGTTACTAAATTTGCATGATTGAAAGGAGCAAAACGAAAGATATTAGAGTGCTAAAAATGAAAGCTAATGAAAATGTATGACAAAAATAATGATGATAAGATTATATGGCTTAACAATATGACAATATATTCATTTCAATGAACAAAAATTTCCACTTTTTGGCATTTGGTTTAAATTAAAGTTTGATTCAATTTAATTTAATTTTAGTTAAATGACGATTTTTGATTATTTAATGCAAAAATATCTTCTTTTTACCATACTCTCTCTTTTTTCTCTCTCTCTCTCAAAAAAAAGAAAAATAATCTTTAATCATTAAACTTTTCATTTTATTTATTTGTATTAATTTAAATTGCTACTAATTTAATTTAAACTTATTTTGCCTAGTTTATCCCAATTCGCTCTTAAATATTATGAATTTAACTTTTTACCTAATGTTTCATTTTTCAAATGCAAAAATTTGTCTTCCTGAAATTCATCAATTCTACAATATTCATTTTCTACCTTTTCACTGTTTTCATTTTTCTCTATTAACTTTCAATTACTTGTAATACTGTATTTTTACTTTACTTCTGTGACAAATGACATTTTAAATCACTAATATATACTTTGGCGCATTATTTTTTATCATGGATTAAATAACATAAAATGCATTTTATAATTTTAAGATTTATTAACATTACTTTATCACTTATTATCACTGAACAAAACTTATCAACATTTGTTATCATTAAACAAAAATGTTTTATTATTTTAATTTAAATTGATAAATGTGCATAGTCTGTGTATATGTGTGTGTGTGCGTCGTTATCATTTTTGTGATAAGGTATAACTGATGAATACAAAACAGTTTAACTAAAACTGATTAAATTTAATTAAGTTGAAAAAATATTAATTAATTAAAACTGTTAGATATATTTATTTATGCATAATTATATTAAAAATGAGAAAAAAAATGTATTTTATTAGTTTAATTATGCCAAGATTAATTAGTAATTTTCCAACAATACAACATTGATAATAAATGTAAAAAATAAGTAGTTTTATTCTTTGTTTTTTTAATATCATTTTTAAAGTAAAATTTAATTAGCATTTAACATACAAATGTTTGTATTTTGATGAATAATAATTAACAAGTAAATAGTATAAATGATATTTACCTTTATGGCACATTATTAAAAATACACAAACTGTTTTATTTTGCTGATAATTTCTTTCAATTTTATTTATTTCTTTTTTGGAAATAATTATTCACGCATATAACTGTATAAAATTTTTTAATAGTAATACATATTCCTTATTAGAGCACATAATCCTTATTGCTATACATATTCTTTATTGTCATACGTATTCCTTATTGTTGCACATATTTTTCATCAATACTAATATTCTCTTTTGCTATACATACTTTTTATTGTCGTACGTATTCCTTATTGTTGTACATATTTCTTATTGTTACACATATTCTTCATTGTTATATACATCCTTTATTGTTATACTGATACATTTACAATAAATGCATCTTTACAGCTATGCAACTAATTAATTTGAAAATTGTTGCGATATATAAATAATATTATAATTATTTCAAATATTTATAATATTAAAATTATCAACGAATTAATATCATTTTCTTTTCTTTTTTTTTGTGAAATAAAAAGATTTTCGAATCATTTTTGTATCCAAATTTTAACAGTTCAAAATTTTGTATTCTTTCCTTTTTTAAAACAAATCTATCGAATTCATTTGAAAATATTTTTGTCAAGAAAAAAAAGAAAGAAAAATTATTTTATTAATGCGTAATAAAAATAATTTTAATAATATTTCATTTCACCTTTGAATTGATAAATTTAACTTGTATAAATATATTTTATTGTTATAAATTTTATCAAAATACAAAAAAATATCGAAAATTGAAATTATTAAAGTTAAAAGAACACACACAAAAAAAAATGCAAATATTTTTTGTGAATGAAAAAAAAATTTTTTTCTTTTTATAATTTTCTTTTTGTCTTTTTTTTTTTTGTTTTTCCTAAAAAAAAAAAAAACTTTAATAATTTCAATTTTCATTCTATGCTAAAATTATATTCATTCATTTTCACTTTTTTTTTTGAAAAGAAAATTAATAATAACGAAAGAGAGAGAGAGAGAGAGAGGGAGAGAGAGAGGGAAAAAAAAGAAAAGTCACTTTTACTTATTTATTTATTTTTTGATTTAAAATTGTCCAAAATAAATGGAACACAAGCAGTATAATCAATCAATTCCTTTTTTTTTTTGGCTTGAACACACACACACATACACACATACACAGACATACACACACACATACACACATGCACAGACATACACACACACACACAACCTTTATTTCATTTCTTTCAATTTCTCTTTTTTCAATTTTTTTTTTTTTTTTTTTGAAATAGTTAATATTCAATCTTACTTTCTAAAGCACTTTATCATTAAAAGCATTTTCTTTGGTTTATTTTCCTTTTTTTTTTCCTAATTTTTCCCCTCTCTCTCTCTCTCTCTCTCTCTCTCTCTCTAATTCATCTCCACAAAAAAAATCGCTCAATTTTTGATGCATTTCTGATTAAATTCAATCTACCATCCTCATCAATCCAATCACTTCAATTTCAACCCTATACTCGTCAATCT